TTATAAAACAAACATATTCTGTGGGTGTTAAAGCAGCCTGAAATGTTCCTGTTAGTGTCAGCATGGTTGAAGGTTAGGAAATCAAAATGAATCACCATATTTCAGAATTGTATGTAGAAGCCAATATTTGGTGGATTATATTTGTATAAATGCTTATTCATGTACAGACCACTGATGTATAGAAATACACTTTTCCCTGGTTTTGTTGTCAAAGTGTTCATGCTAATGTACTTTCAAGCACACGGAACTTGAAGGTGGCCAAAAACCTTGTTTTCAACATGTGTGCACACATATGTAAAGAAAATATGTTTTTAAAAGGAACCACAACAATCTGGTTTTAAGTTGTAGCACTCCTGAGACTTACTGAGTCACCTTAAACCAAAGGAGGTAGTTGATTAAAATGAGCATTTCCCTCTTATTTGGAATTGATTTGATCAATTTTATGGAAGATGTTAAATATGGAAGAGATGGCTTTGTTTACAAGAAACACAAAAGGAGAAAATGATCAACTATACATGAAAATACAGATGTGTCTCGTCAATGTCCCCAAGGAGCTGCCGTGCACAGCACTGCAAGATTATGTTCAAATATCATTGGTGCTGTTAAGGTATTTATTAATAAAAGAATCAGAAAGACACCTGAGGTTTTGGCTTTTCTGTGGACATTCAAGATCATTTATAACCTCCATTTAAATATCTGGGGCATCATTTGGCTGCTTTAGTCAGAGACCTAAGCAGTGCTGGGTGCTACAACGTGAATTCTAGTCTGATATGATAGCTGTGTTTGAAGTTTACAGTTTTTTAACTATGAGCAGTTTAAAAGGATGATTAATGGGTACAAATTGAACGAGGGAAGATGGGGGAATAGCATGGGTACAAATTGAACGAGGGAAGATGGGGGAATAGCACAAGGAGTAGTGGGTACAAACTGAACGAGGGGAAATACGGGGATAGGACAAAGAGTAATGGGTACAAACAGGAAAAGGGGAATTCCAGGTTGGATATTATGAAGAAATTCTTTCCTTTGAGGGTGGTGAGGCTCTGGCACAGGTCGCCCAGGGAAGCTGTGTCTGTCCCATCCCTGGAAGCGTTCCAGGCCAGGTCAGACGGGGAGTGGAAGGTGCCTGTGCCCATGGCAGAGACTGGAACCTCTAAAGTCCCTTCCGGCCCTTAAGCTGGAGCGTTCACCGGCGCTGTGAGGGCGGCGCGGTGCTCCGGGCCCGCCTCCC